GGGTAGTGAGGATGGTTAATGAGTACAAAAATACAGTTAGATACAATGAATAAGACCTACTATTTGATAGCACAACAGGGTGACTATAGTCAACAATTTATTGCACATTTAAAAATAGCTAAGAATATAATTAGGATGTTTGCAACACAGAGAAATGATAAATGCTTGAGGCAATGAAACATTTATCCTGATATGACAGTTAGGTATGCACTGTATGCCTGTATCAAAACATCTCACGAACCCCATAAGCATATACACCTACTATATACCTATAAAAATTAAAAATTTTAAAAATTAAAAATAAACATAGAATCTAATTAACATTAAAGACCTTTCACTTAAAAATCAGTAAATAGTTTAAAGGTCAAGATCAAAAGTTTTTTATTTGCTGCTAAAGTTATCTCTAATATACTAAGGTATACTTATATAAAGATGTTCAAGAATAATCACAAATCTTTCACTCAATACTTGCAGGTTGTCCAATCAATAAATAGTCTGGTTTTCTTAAATAGATAAACTAAATCTACACCTTGAGACTAATAAAATCATTTATTTATGCCTTCACAGAGAATTGATTAGAATTCTCAAATGGCAAAAAGAAATAATGTTTCTAAATGTTTAAAGTATAACAATAAACTCTGACTTGCACTGATTTCTAACTATAAATGCCATGCTGCACAATGCTGACATCAGATTATTTAAGATATTTCTATTGTGAATCAGTCCCATATAGTCTATAGATTAACTGCTATGACAAGTTGGAACCATTCACTCTATATGTTAAAATAAACCTGGATTTGTTGTTGCCTTTGCAAAGGCATGTGGAAAGAATTTCTAACTGGTACTTATTAGATTAGGATCAAAGTAGTTATAATACACTTTACAGTACTACTTTAAATTTATCTATAAAAAATTATGCTGAACTACTTCCTTTCTCTCAAATATTCTTCATAGACAGATACCTAATGGTGAATATAAAACCAATGAACTAGTAGTTTTAAATGTTGCATTTTTCTTTTTTATGTGTGTGTAGGATTAAGTGCAACAGTTTTGATGTTTATTGTTGATTCTTTCTTTTGCTTCTTAATTAAAAGAGTTAGTGATCAAAAGAAACTGATTTATTTTTCCACATGACTGTTGGGAAGGCCCAATCCTGAATGAAAAATTATGATGAATGCAAACTGATTTGCCCATAAATACATATTTGGAAGTAAAGAAATTATTTCAAGGGGTGCATGAGACCAAATTTTCTAAAAAGTTTTTAAATATGACTTCTGCTTGGCCAAAATCAACAGAAACAAACAATGCCCTAAGGTACAGCAATGACAATAGCATACATAATAAAAATAAGGTGATTGAACAAAGGAGGTAAAACTATTATGAAGAATGCCCACTGAGATTATACAAAAAGCTCTTTCAAAACATCCTCAGGATATGTTCCACCTTCCCTTGTAATCCAGTTCCTAACAGAATCCATAGCACGTATATCAAGAGACACTTGTGATGGCTAGCTACATGGCTGGCAGGCCAGCTGACCAGAAAAGAACTAGAACTCTCTCCTCACACATTACCTTTTCCCAGCCCAAGCCTTTAAAGCATTTCACATTACACACCAGAAGTAAGTGGGTGATTTCATTTGAACATAAGCCTTACTTCTGGTGTATAATGTGAAAATCTGATCATTAACATATGAAATATATGTAAAATAACTATTACAAAACTATTAAGAACTATGTAAAAGTAAGTTACTTCATTACACATTATAGTTTTCACATAGTTTTCAATATCAAAAACGTGTTGCTTTTAAGTAAATTCATAGTATAGTCATCACATCTTGTGACATCTTTGGAAAACATTTATGAAACTACTTCTCAAGTTCTTTCTTTGAAAAAAAAATGGCATATTTTCTTTTTCTTGAAAGCGGGCCTCATTTCCCCATTTCCCCTTTGCCCATTTCCCCTTTGCCCATTAGCATAAAAACACAAGTTGACTTATTTCAAATATAAAATTCTTCCCTATCCTCTTCTCATAGGAGGTTACCATAAATGGAGTCCTGGGGACAGTCTCATTTGACTATCCAACTTCATGCAATTAGATTTAACATAATTGTTAATAAATGAAATAAACGTGTCTTCAAATATATTTATAATAAAATTTAATTTTAAAATAAAATATTCAAATGCAATTGGACCTGCCAAGTGTTACGTACAATAGTGTTTGTTCATTCCCAACACCAGCTAGCATGCAGACACATCTAATATTGTTTTGTTTGGTTGTAATACTTTATAAATTGTTTGATTTTACCATATACCAAACCTCTGCTGTTGAGCTATTCAAACTAACTCCTGCCAAGAACAGTGAATTTGGTGATAGTACTTCTTTTGGGAGAAAAACAACCCCTTTCCTCAGAAAATTAAAAGTGTTTATTTTGGCACTTAAACCTTGTATTGAGCCTTCTGGAAAGTATTTTAAACTGTTGTTTTTAACTTAGACTTGTGACTGAAACAGGAAAAGGTTCCGTAGCTCTGCACCAAAACACGTATTTATAGGGTTGATTTTCTTTCGACACCAAAAATACTGGGTTGATGGCAGCAATTTTCAAAACATAATTTCCTAGACCCATGCTATAAATTGGGCCTTTATCAGTGTATTTAACAAATGATTTATTTTTAAACCTCAAAAACTTCTGATGACTAAGAAATGCTACACATCAATCAAGTATGTCTTTAAGTTCCACAATGGGAAGGATTTTAAATACCTGCTCTGTTAGGAATTTCCACGAAAAAGAAAATTTATTTGAGATTGGACTTTCTTCTTGTGTATGTCACCAAGTTAGGTTTCTAGTTTTTAAGCTTTTTATGATTGAATTTTCCCTACTGGGTATGCCATATCCTCAGACTAGGTAAAACATAAAAATATAACGGCAAACTATGTGAACTTATTGCAATACTGTCCTAATAATGTGTCTGAATACAATTAAGAAGTTTTTGGAAATCAGTGAGTCATTGTTCATAACTCCCACGATCCACCTCTAAATTATTAAAATATAGGAAAGAGACCACAGGAAAAGTATATTGTATATGAAGATACAGTAAAAGTAATAAATAGATCAAACAATTTCACAAAAACAACCAGACAGCTCCAATAATTCTTCAGTCACTAATGACTGATACAAAATACTAAGCATCCTAATGACTGATACAAAACCCTTTGCAGTTCAAGTCCTCCCTACCTTGACTCTTCATCTATGTTTCCCCTTCCAAAAGTCTGGCTGTCTCTTTACAAGAATAATAACAGTAACATCATCATTTTTATTTGCATATGACATTTTTAAAACTCAAAACAATTTAAAATTATATAATTTTGCTTTATAAAATATTTATTAGGACATACTAGCAGGAAATTAATGGTTTAAAAATTCTGGAAAAATAGAGATTTATGATCTCTATTATGTGATCCAGCAATCCCACTGCTGGGTATATACTCAAAATAAAGCAAATCAATATATTGAAGAGATATCTGCACTCCCATGTTTGTTGCAGCACTGGTCACAATAGCAAAATTTGGAAGGAGGCTAAGTGTCCACTGACAGATAAATAAATAAAGAAAATGTGGTACACATAAACAATGGAGTATTATTCAGCCACAAAAAAGAATGAGATCCTGTCATTTGCAACATAGACGGAACTGGAGATCATTATGTTAAGTGAATTAAGCCAGGCACAGAAAGGAAAATGTCACATGTTCTCACTTATTTGTGGGATCTAAAAATCAAAACAATTGAACTCATGGACATAGAGAGTAGAATGATGGTTACCAGAGGGTGGTAAGAGTAGTGGGGTGTAGGGGGAGGTGGGGGTGATTCATGGGTATAGAAAAAGAAAGCATGAGACTTACTATTTGATAGCACAACAGGGTGACTATCATCAATAATACATCGTACATTTTTAAATAACTAAGAGTGTAAATTGGATTGTTTGTAACACATAGGATAATAGCATTTGATTATTATGCATCATATCCCTGTATCAAAACATCTCACGTACAACTACTATGTTCCCACAAAAATTAAAAATAATTTTTTTAAAAAAATTCTGATATGGTTGGATTGTTTTATTCTTAAAAATATATATATATACCAAATATATCCTACTAAAAATCTGCAACTGTCTTTGTTAATTAAGCACAAATTTTAATTTGAAAAGTCTGATCCTGTCTGCTAAGACTTACTTTTGCTAGATCCGTAAATACCAAAAAGATCTATTCAAATGGGGGCAATAAGAGTAAAATAAATGGAAATTAATTGGTATCACTAAAAATAAAGAAATAAAGATTATAAAGGAGGGGACTCTCCCTAATCAAAAATCACATTGCACACTGCTGGGATTACACGAAGATGACAGAAATCCTTCTTACTGACATTTAAATCTTGGGCCATCCTAACACTCTTGACATTTAAATCTTGGGCCATCCTAACACTCTTCCCCTTAGCCCCCGACAAACCCGAGACCGGTGTCAGTGAAAAGTACAACGTTGACGTTATAACAAACAATAGTTTACAGACTATCATTAGTGCGCTAGGGTATCTTTGCAGAAGGCTTAGCTAGAGCTCTACTGTCACTTTTTTCTTATCGAAACGTAAAATGTTGATTGTTTTATAAGCTGAGTGAAAAATACTTAGGTATTTACATACAATCAGGTCCATAAAAGATAAAAATTCACTTATCAGGATTTGAGTCCTGTTAATTGACATACTCAACTTTCTAGGATGAACTTATAAATAGAATGGGGGAGGGGAATCAATCAATCTTCATTCCCTCTCTTTCTCTTTTCTTTACCCATGAAGAAGCAATGCTTTATCTCTGTCCACTCTGGGTGCGAGGGAAAGTATGCTGCTTGTAAGGGATAATTATTTGGAGAATACTTTAGTTTCATGGTTGATGAAATTACAAAGGGATACTGTTTGGGGTATTAAAGTAAATAGGTATAACAGAACCTACCTGAAAAAGAACATGTACATGGCAGCTGTGATGCAAAACAGAAGGACCTGTAACAAGGAGAAAATACATTACTTGCAAAAGAACACTGACACCACCATTTGAGTGAATCATAAAAGCAAAATACTATTAAATCTTGTGCCTGAAACAATAAAAGGATACACAAATCAGTCACACACATTTCATATTCTCGACCTTTCATATAAACCAAACTTGTTCAACCTGCGGCCTGTAGGCTGCATGAACTCCAAGACGGCTTTGAATGTGGTCTAACAGAATTTGTAAACTTTCTTTAAACATTGTGATTTTTTTTTTTTTTTTTTGCAATTTTTTTTCAGTTCATCAACTATCATTAGTGTTAGTATATTTCAAGTAAGGCCCAAGACAAATTTTCTTCTTCCAATGTGGCCCAGAAAAGCTAAAAGATTGGACACCCCTAATATAACCAATATTAGGAGAATACATTGCAATACTTATATGTAACTATCATCATGTATATAATTATATATATTATACAGACATATACAGACTGGATAGAAGGGTAACAGAATTCAAAAAAAAGGGAATAGCATATTTTTAACTTTCTGTTAGAATGCCTAAACAAGCAAGCTTAACTTAAAAACAAGGACAACAGCTTTTGTATAATCAATTCAGTGAATAAATCAGAAAGTTTATTAACTATGATATGAAGATGACCAGATTTTCTAATGTAAAATACAGTACAGTTGTCAACCAATTCTAATCAATAAGAAAAGCTCATAAAAATACAATATTCCTTTGTGGAATACAGACTAGCTATAAAAGTAATTCCTCTAGAAGCAGGCATAAGAACATCTGAAATGATGATCTCAGAAACATCACAGTAAACACAACCATATTAAGATGGTATGTGGAAGGAACCCAGAACTCCAGTCCTGACTAATGTCTTAGTTACACCAAAAAAACAGATTGGAAAAGTTGTTTTAAATCACAAAAATTAAAGTTGTAGAATGCATTCTTATGTTAAAAAACAACAGTATAAATTAAGCATAAGAATCGTCAATGGCCTCACATCACAGACAAATAAGAAATGAACTTTCTTTCGATTGTGAAAGGCTGACCACAAGAACAGAAATGAAAACACTGGAAAAATTGTTTTGCTATTTCTAACACAAATAATTTCTAGTCAACCTGATGAAAGCATGGTAATTATGCCATTACAAATCAAGCTTGACAAGTTTGTTGTCTTAGCCTAAGATAAGCATTATATATACAGCCTGAATGACTTAGAAATATATAAATATACCAATGAAAAAGAGGATTGGTATCAATTAATATGAAGGAAATATTATATATATTTATGTAACATTATATATCTACAAAATCTCTTTCTGTGCTAAACACACATACTCTTCTCCTCTCCCTCTTTCGCTTCTTCCTTCCTCTCTCCATCTCTCTTCTCCATTGACTTAAACACCCTATCCATGAAGCATAAGGTTCATTTTACCATTTCACTGTTTTTAGAAACATAACTTAAAGCATATAGAATAATTTTCAGTTATTTCCAATTGATTATAAATTAAAATCTAAGTGAGTTTATTTACTGAGTTTTAACAAAACTCAGTCATGATATTCATTTTTTTAAATTTCTCTATCATTCAATCCCGGTTAGACAATGCCATCCTTCCCAGATGTTCAATGCTTCAGGCTTTTCCTCCACTAATCAGTGTCCCCCTTGCAGATCACACTAAAAACCTCTCTAGAAGTATCCCACAAATCTTTCAAACACTCTTCATCTTCTCTAAATATCCAAAGTCTCCCATCCCTCAAAATGTTGGCATGATCTATCCTAATATGCTAACCTATCTGTGTTCGTACTAAACTGGTAATTATCTTTACAAATAATACACTCGAAACAGAAAAAGTACAATGTTTCAGAACTCAAGCGTTAGACTAAGATAGACCTAGGTTTGAATCCTAGTTCTGTGTACCTCTAGATATTTTATATAATTTCCCTAAACCTTAGATCCCTTATCTATAAACTGAGAATAATATCATACTTTGAATTATTTAGAAGAATTAATGAGAGGATGCTTATAAAAGCTTATAAAAACAGTCTGCTGAAGAAGAATTAATGAGAGGATGCTTATAAAAGAAAGGTGGAGTTACCGTCCAACAAATAATGGGAGAATGCTATAACCAGCTTTGTAAAATTCTTCAGCAGATTGTTTTTATCTTGTTTTGTTACTGACATAAGTGATCTAGATAGAAAAACCTAACCCAGAGACATAAATCTGGAAAGAAATTATTTTTAAGCAGGGAGCCCTTTTGAAATCTCTAATATCACTGATAATTAGGAGAATAAATCAAAAGGATATTACAGTGCAATTGACTGATTCATTAAACAAACATTTACTGAATTCCTACTATATGCCTGGTACTGTTCTAAAACTTACCACAATGCACAAAATGGACAAAGTCCTTGCCCTCATGGAACTTATCTTCTAGCCAGGTAAGAGAACATATTTTTAAAAAGATGTATGTTAGAGAGTAGTAGGAGTTTTGGAGATAAATAAAGTAGAATAAGGAAAGAGAAATACAGGAGACTGGGGGTTGTTATTTTATACAAAGTGGTCAAACAAGAAGAGACTTGATAGCAGAGACACTGTAAGAGAAAAGCCGGGGGACCATACGCATAAAGCCGCTGGAAGGATTTTGGATTTGATCAAGAAAGATGGGAACTTAATGCAAAATATGTTTGTTATTATTTTAGTTAAAGATGCTAAAAACAGCATTTCATTTTTAGCTAAGTTTTTAAAAAAGTTTTTAAAACTGTGCTAGTTTATCATTGTTACTTTCACAAAGTATTTTTCCAAATAAATCTAAATCCACAGCTAAATAAGGAAGAATACTTCCTCTGTGTTTGAAATTACAGAATTTTAAAGCTAAAAGACACTTCGAAATAAACCATCATATTTTTTCATATCAGGAAACTCAGATCCTGAAAAGGTAAGCAATACGACCATGCTCACTGAGCTAGCTGTATCTTACATTCCTTCATTAAACAAATATTGGCCAAACAGTTACTCTGTACCTGCTAAATAGAGAGGATATTTAAATACAATTCTGACCCTCAAGGACCTTATAGGATACTGCAGTCCAATACTGTAGCTACTGGACACATGTGGCTATCTAAATGATTTAATAGCTTTATTGAGGTATAACTAAAATAAACTGTACATATTTAAAGTGTACAATTTTATAAGTTTTGACATACCTATATACCTGTAAAATAATCCTCATAAGCAAAATAATAAACATATTCACCCAAAAAGCTGCTTATAGCACTCTCCCATTATTTGCTGGACGGTAACTCCACCTTTCTTTGGCTTGATGTTAGCTGTCTTGTAGTTTTAACTGATTACGGTCTTTACATTTGAAGTGCATTGCTTGTAGGCAGCATATAATAGTTTCCTGCTTTTTTATCCTATCAGAAAATCTTTGTCTCTCAATTGAGATATTTATACTATTTACATTTAATGTGATTATTGGTATGCTTATATTTAAATCTATCATCTTGCTATTTATTTCTCTACTTATCTCTTACTGTTTTTTTTTCCCTCGTTTCTGCCCCTTTTTGATTAACTAAGTTTTTGTATTGTTTTGTTTTGTTTTTTGAGACAGAGTCTCACTCTGTCACCCAGGCTGAAGTGCAGGGTTGCAATCTCGGCTCACTGCAACCTCCACCTCCCATGTTCAAGCAATTGTCCTGTCTCAGCCTCCCCAGTAGCTGGGAATACAGGCACATGCCACCACACCCAGTTAATTTTTGTATTTTTAGTAGAGATGGGGTTTCACCACGTCAGTCAGGCTGGTCTCAAACTCCTGACCTCACGTGATCCACCCACCTCGATCTCTGAAAGTGCTGGGATTACAGGTGTAAGCCACTGCACCCAGCAACTGAGTATTTTTCAATGATTGCATTTTCTTCCCTTTGTTGGCTTATTTTAGTGTTGGTTTTATGGTTTATAGTACACATCTATAAATTGTTGTCTATATTCAAATGACATTATACTACTTAACATATAGAAAAAAAATCTTCCAATAATGTATTTCCATTTCTCCCCTCTTGATCTTTGTGCTGTTATTGCCATCCATAGTGTATGTATGTACAGATATATCTAAATTCATCATTATATTTTAATCACTTTGACTTAAAAATGTAGGTCTGCAAAAAGTTTTTTCATTTTGTTCTGAAAGATACTTTTGTTGGGTATAGAATTTTAGGCTGATGGATCATTTTGTTTCAGTGGTTTACAAATGTCACTCCATTGTCTTTTCACAATTTGATTACGATGTGCCTTGGGTAGTCTTCAAAATATTTCCTGTAGTAGGATTTATTAGGCTACTTGGATCTCTGGGTTTACAGTTTCTATCAAATTTGAGTAATTTTCGGTCATTATTTCACCATTATTTTTTCTTCTCCCTTCTCTGCTTCAAGAACTCCAATTACATGAATAGGAGGTCACCTACAACTCACAGATGTTATCTTTATTTGGTGATTAAAAAAGAAAAAAACAAAACCATGGCCAGGCACAGTGGCTCATCCCTGTAATCCCAGCACTTTGGGAGGCCAAGGTTGTCAGATCACTTGAGGTCAGGAGTTCATGACCAGCCTGTCCAACATGGCAAAACCCTGTCTCCACTAAAAATACAAAAATTAGGCATGGTGGTGCACATCTGTAATTCCAGCTACTTGGGAGACTGAGACATAAGAATTCCTTGAACCCAGGAGACAGAGGTTGCAGTGAGTGAGACTGCACCACTGCACTCCAGCCGGGGTGATGGAATGAGACTCTGTCTTGGAAAAAAAGAAAAGAAAAGAAAAAAGAAAAAAAGTCTCTTTTCTATGTTTCATTTTAGATGGTTTCTATTCTTATGTCTTCAGGTTCACTAACATTTTATTCTGCAATGTATAATCTGTCCTTAATATCATCCAGTAAGCTTTTCATTTCACAAATTGTAATTTTCATCTCTAGAAGTTTCATTTTTCCTTTTTCCCCATTTTCAT